TTATTTTTCTTTATTTTGAATCAAAGTCAAATATGAAACATATAAATTAAGTTAAAATTGAATTTTGAATTAAGATATGAGAAATAAAAAATTAAATCGAATTATATATATTTTATTAATTTTTATAAAATAAAAAAATTATTTTATATATTAATTTATTTAAATATATTAAAAATTTTATTAGTTCTTTTTGTAAAATCTTGTCCTTTTCTATATTGTATTAAGTTATTGTCCTTTTTTTTATTGTCTAATTAAATCATTATTTTTTTAATAGTATAATTAAGTCATTAATAACTTGTGCTTTCTGAATCGTCTAATTAAGTCATTGTCCTTTGTGAATTATCTATGTGCTTCGAAATGAAACTATAGCCAAGACTTAGACAATTGGACTAATTAAGTCATTGTCCTTTTCCTAGTTAAGTCTATGTCTCATTAATTGTAAGTTTGAAAAGTCTTTTTATATTTTTTTTGTGAAATTTAGAAATAAAGTCTACGTCTCACTAGTTGGAAGATACTAAAGAACAGACAAGTCAGCTTGATCCATGCAATTGATCTCAATAATATAATTACTGTTCAATAACGATGTTAGGTTAGCTCTTGGGGAATTAGTCACTTGATTTTTTTTATTGCATTTCTTTCAATTTCTCCCAAAGTTTTTTTATATATATAAAAAAAATCTTTCGTGCAATTAAGAATTAGTAATTGATATAGTAGGAGCGAGAAATTTTTTTTAAGTAAAAAATTTATTTAAAATCATAGTATTTAATTTAATTTAGATTAATTTATTTTTATTTGATTTGAATCAAAGTTAAATATGAAATATATAAATTAAGTTCAAATTAAATTTTGAATTGAAATATGAAAAATAAAAAACTAAATTGAATTATATATATTTAATTAATTTTTATAAAATAAAATAATTATTTTATATATTAATCTATTTAAATATATTAAAAATTTTATTACTTCTTTTTGTGTTATATTTGTCCTTTTCTGAATTGTTTTAAGTCATTGTCCTTTTTGGTCTAATTAAATCAGTGTCTTTTCTGAATTGTATAATTAAGTCATTAATCTAGTTATTGTGCTTTTTGAATTGTCATTGTCCTTTTTTGCATTATCAATGTGCTTCGAAATGAAACTATATCCAAGACTTAGATAATTGGTCTAATTACGTCATTGTCCTTTTCCTTGTTATGTCTATGTCTCATTAATTGTAAGTTTGAAAAGTCATTTTTTTTTTGGTTAAATTTAGAAGCAAAGTCTACGTCCCTTTAATTGGAAGATACCAAAGAACAGATAAGTCAATTTGATCCATGCAATCGATCTCAATAATATAATTGTCGTTCAATAACGATGTTGGGTTAGCTTTTGAGGAATTAGTCACTTGATTTTTTTCATTACATCCAATTTCTCCTAAAGTTTTTCTATATATATATATATATATATATATTGAGAGAGAGAGAGAGAGAATCCTTCGTGCAATTAAGAATTAGTAATTGATAATAGGAGTAAAAAAAAATTTTAAAATTCAAAAATTGATTTAAAATCATATTAATCAGATTAATTTGGATCAATTTGTTTTTATTCTATTTGAATCAAAATCATATATTAAATGTATAAATTAAGTTTAATCAAATTTTGAATTAAGATATGAAAAATAAAAAAAATTAAATCGAATTATGTATATTTTATTAGTTTTTATATAATATTTTAAATTTTTATAAAATAAAATAATTATTTATATATTAATCTATTTATATATATTAATAATTTTATTAAGATAATATATATAAAAAATTAAAATTTAAAAATCGATAAATTAAACTAAATTAATAGAATCAATAAAATCAACTTAGATCAGATTGATTTTAAAAAATATAAATTTAAATTTAAATCAAAATTTTAAAATTTATAATATTATGTATTACTTAAAAAAATAAAACAAAATCTAATCCAAATCATTACTATTTTTATCTAATAAAATATTTGACACTGTAAAAGGATAAAAGAGTTTTTCTACTGGACAAATAAAGAAATGCAGTTATCCCTTAGGTTTAATAAATCTAGGTACTGTTACCCCGTCTTCTCTTAATAATTATCTCTTTTTTTTAGCTATTAGATTGTAGTTCGTGTTATGCACGAAAAAAATTTATTTACTTTATATATAAATACCTATAAATTTGTACTTTTTAAAATATATATTTAAATTTTTAAAATTTATAACATATAAAATATTTTATATTTGATTAATTTGTAATAAAAAATAATTTTTTTTAAAAATAATATATCTATATTTTGCATTTTTTTATTTACGATAATATTTATATACTTAAAATTTAGATAAAAAAATAAATTACATGATTTTTTTTAAACACAAAAACATATATATTACTGAATAATTAATTAAATAATAAAAAAAGTTTATATACGCTTTCACTTTTGTAATTTTATTCAAATTACTAGACAAAATATAAAAAAAAGTTAAGAGATGCGTTAAAAAAAATAAATAAAAGTTAATTTTCATAAGAATAAACTTACAATAGTAATAGAATAAACGTTAAAAAAGAAAGATGCAAATTGAAAAAATAAATTGCAATAACAATAAAATTTCAAAAAGCTACAAGTTGAAAAATAAAACAAATATATAATACATTATATTTATAGTTTTTAATTTGTAAAACAACTCTTGGATGACATTTAAGATTAAGTAGATAATTTTCAAATTGATATTTAAAAAATTAAAAGGATATAAGTGATAAAAATTAAATTAAATTTCTTATCTATTTTTTAGCTATAAATTTAATAGTTAGAATTGAGATGGATATAGGTTCTATTATTTAGAGATTTAATATAAAAAGACTATTTGAATTTTCAATATTTTTGTAAATTTTTTAAAAGATCATTTTTGTTTGATACAAATTAAAATAAAAGAACATAGTTAGTTTTTTAAAAAACCGGATAAACTTAATTTTTATAAATTTAAAACATAATGAAAGATTTTTACAATAAATAATTTATAAAATAAAGTTATCTTGTAAAAAATTAAAATTATTTAGATAAAATCCACATGTCAAATTTTTAATTAAAAAAAAATCTCTAAGTTAATTTGATTTGCAATTATAACTTGAATAATTTTGATATTTAAATAAATTCAAGATTATCCAATTTATAATTAAAATAAAATATATTCTTAAAAAAACTATTTTATATGTCATTTAAAAAAGTTATTCACCTAAACCCTAAATTACTTAAAATAAAAATAAAAATCATTACAGCTAGATTGATTAGTGCTTTTTACTATTTGTCAATTATTTTTAATTTTTAATTTATTATTTTTTAAATATAAAAATCTAATAATAAAAATATGAACCAAATGCAACTAAGTATCTACCTACACAATAACAAGTTTTATTTAAAAATACCACTTGAATTATTATAATATAATTATTAATATTAATTATTACAAAATTAAAAACAAAAAAAAAGTTTTTAAGTCAACTAATGATTTGTTAGGCTAAAAAGCCCCAATCTATTTAAACAATTAAGTCAATAAAAATATAATTAAACAATTAATGAACTACATAAGAGATAATAATTTTACGTGATTCAGCCCATCCAACATATGTCCACAAATGAAAAAAAATCTACTAATTATAAAAAATTACAAACAAATCAATAAATCAATATTACTCATAATCATTACCTATAAACACTCTCATTCTCTTCTAATCTTATATAATATTCTCAACACAAATAAACATATATCCATATAGATTCATGCACCATACATATGTAAATTCTCTTATTTTTCTCTAATTTACTCAAACATATACACTTATAAATACCTTATCAATCTCTTTTAGTCTATGAAGTGTCTACTTAATAAAATCCTACAGTTCTCTTAAATTTTTTTTCTAATATCTAACCTTGTGGAAACTCTACATATTTATAAGCATACTAATTTGCTTATTAAGAATTCTCTTTCTCTTAATTTTTTTTTAAAGTATTTTTATTCATCAAGTAATATATTGTCAATATCAAATAAATCTTTTATGGTATTTGAGTACTATTCCCAACAATTTTCACATTTATTCAAATTCTATCAAATTATTAATTTTTATGCTAGTTATACTTGGCTCAATTTACAATGTAAGTCTAGTAACAAGCTTTTTTGTGTGTCTTCACGCTTCTTATAAAATAATCATCAAAACTAGAACTCAAATCCATCCATTGAATCAAGTACCTCTAGGTTTGCCTCTTTCGATATCTCAAACCTACATTTTGATATCAATTATTTGGATCATGATAGCTTTGATAATAGTTATTAGGCATAAAAGTTCAATCCAATTAAACATTCAAGAGAGAGAAAGCAAAATTAAATGATTAATTAACTATACAAAAGATAATAATTTAACATGATTCAGCTCAATTTACGTACATCTATGAATAAGAAAAATAGGTTCACTAATTATAAAAAATTATAAATATATATTTTCAATCAATTACTTAATAATCAATACCTATGACCGTTTCACTCTCCTTTATTTTTGTGAAATATTTTTAATCTAAATAAATACATATCAATTGTGCACTCATACACAATAATAATGTGAACTCTATCATTATCTTTTAATCCAGTCAAATATACAAACTCATAAAAATCTTCTTAATTTTTTCTAATTTTATGAAATGTTTACTAATAGAGATTCTACTTATTTATATGTATACTAATTTACTTATCAAGCATTTTTCTTAATTCTTCTTTTGTAATTTTTTTTATCCATTGATTAATATCTAATCAATTTTAAATAGATTTACGATGAGATTTAAATTATTATTTCTATCATGATCTCGTACATAATTTTTATGTAGGGTATAGATTATACACTAGAAGAAAGAAAAAAATAAAATAGCACATCTATATATAACGGTGAAGGTTTGGAGATATAGAACCAACCAAAACCCATATTTCATTTCTGTTCCTCTTACTAAACACGGAAATGGCAGTGGTGGAGGCTATTATCTCCTTTGCTGTGGAGAGAATTGGCGATGTGATCATACAGGAAGCAAGATTCTTGTACGACGTAAGGGGCAAAGTGGAAGAAATGCGAACTGAACTAATGCGCATGCGGAGTTTTTTAAGAGAAGCGGAGTCAGGACAGGGAAATGACAGGAACATACGCACTAGGGTTGCAGAAATCAGAGACATTGCTTATGATGCAGAAGATGTCCTCGAGATTTTTGCCCTCAAAGCAACATCCAGGAGAAGTTCTTCTAGATATGCCTCCTTAAAATATTTGTTCTTTTTATGTAAGGGGAATGATACAAAATTGCTCCACAAGGTGGGATCAGAAATTGAGGGTCTTACAACCAGGCTTACTAGATTAACCGAAAGGCTACCAACTTATGCCTTAAGGGACATCGAGGAAAGAGAGAGGCCAACAAGCTTTTCAGAAAATAGGGTCATTTATCGGCAGTCTTATTCTCACATGATTGAACAAAATGTTGTTGGGTTGGAGGAAGACACAAATTTATTGTTCACAAAACTTGTACGCACTAACTGTCGAGTTGTGTCGATATGTGGGATGGGCGGCTTGGGAAAGACTACTCTGGCTAAGAAGGTTTACCGTCAATGTAGAGATGGGAGCCATTTTGAGTTTTTCATTTGGGTATTCGTGTCACAACAATGGCAAAAAAGGAACATTTGGGAGACATTTCTTCACGAGCTTATTTCTCCTTCTAAAGAACAGTTAGAAGACGAGAAGATCGAGAAAAAGTTTAAAAAAGAATGGAAAAAGATTCAGAAAATGAACGATGGTGCTGTGGCCAAAATGCTCCACGATGAACTGAAGAAGAAAAAATGTCTAGTGGTACTTGATGACATATGGGACAATGTCTGGGACGCATTGAAACCTGGCTTCCCAACTGAGGAGACTAGTACCAAATTTATGATCACCTCCCGCAACAAAAACTTGGTTCATCTTGTGGATCCAAGCGTATTCATCTATGAACCAAAATGCCTGAATGATGAAGATAGTTGGGAACTACTTGAAAAGACTGCATTATCGACACAAAACATCAATCCAGCAGGTACATCATCTTATCCCCTTCAAACTCTTGTCTTATAGAAAAAATCTATCATATTGAGTATGGATAACGGGTATGTTATTTTTCGAGTATGATCAGCAATTAGGTCCAACTTAGAGCTTGTTGTTAGTATATAACTAATATATATAAATAATATACTTCCTCCAAAAAAAATTCTACTACTATCTACTATAAATTATATACAAACAACTTTATCAACACTTGTTAAATGATGAAAATTGTTTTAATTTAAGTTTAAAATCTATATAATATATAGATAGTAACTCCCAGTAAAATGATCATTTTACGCTTCCAAATTTTTATCAATTGCTTAACATATGTTCAAAAAGACAACAATATCCCTCTTGTATTAAATGACAAAAAAATCCATCTTTTAAATTATAAACTGCTATAATGCCCTCCTTTCTTAAATTACAAAAATACTCCTCTTATAAATATCTAATAACTATAATGCCAACAAAATGATCATTTTACCCTTTCAATTTTTTACCAATTGCTTAACAATTGTAAAAAAGATGACAATGCTCCTCCTGTATTAAATGACAAAAATATCCCTTTTTAAATGATAAATTATTATAATGCCCGTCCTTTCTTAAATTGAAAAAATATCCCTCATATAAATGTTAAATGACTATAATGCCAACAAAATGATCATGATAGAAATACCCTTCTTTTAAATGATAAACTACTACAATACCCTTTTTTTTCTTAAATTACAAAAGTACTTTTTTATAAACATCAAATGACTAAAATGTCCTTTATGTCTTAAATGATGAAAACACCCCTCTTATAAATGACGAATTATTATGATATATATCATAATTACAAAAATATCCTCTCTCTTATAATTAACTAAAATTATTATAATATCCTTTTTATTATAATTATGAAAATGTCCCTACTCCTATAATTGACCAAATTTGCTATAATTATCTTATAATAATATAAAAATACCCTCTTACCAAACTTGATCAAAATAACTATAATACTCCTTACCATAATTACAAAGTCTCTTTATGATTGCTTCGTAAGAAGTTGATATGTAACATTTAATTTAAAAATTATTATAATACTTTTTTTAATTTACAAATTAAATTTTAACATAACAATATAAAATTAATTATATATTAAATTATTAAAATACCTTTATTATCGTTTCATATAAAATTGATGTGTGAAATTTTATTTGATAATTACTATAATACTCTTATTATATTATATATATATATATTAAATTTTAACATAATATAAAATTCACTATGTTTTAAATTACTAATCACATTAAAATTATCAAAATATCTTTTTGATTTTTTATTAAGAGTTGACATGTGTCTTAAATGATTATAATATTCCTTTTATCATAATTACATAAAATGTTTCTCTTACTATAAATTAATTAAAATTAGAAGTCCCTCTTACCATAATTTGATAGAATTACTATGACGCCTTTATTACTATAACTACGAAAATATTCCTCCTACTATTTAAATGTAGTATTTTTTTTTTTTTTTAGAAATTTCTATACCTGACCTAGTTAACAAGTTTAATCATTTAAAAGAAATTAGCTTATTCATTATCAATAAAATTTTTAAACTCAACATTAATAAGGGAAAAGATAATTTTTAAAATATATTATAAAATAAAAAATTAATTAAAAATAAAACATGTGATAAATTTTTTAATTCGATTTGTGTAATAAAAAATTACAATATCAAAGATACTCTTTATTTAATTATAATTTCAGTTGAAACTTTTATAAACTTTTTTTTAAATGAAATCGTGACTTAAGTCTTGCCAACACACACGTACAAAAATATCTATACCTAACAATCCTTTATTAACTATTATTTTCTGCCTCCCATAAATAATAATATTTGATTTTGACTTTTCAGTTTCAAAATCTTAAGTTGAAATTTGATTTCTATTGATTGTAAAATTTCTTTCTCGAATCACCTTTACCTTGAAAAATAAGAAGTTGATAATTATAGGCGAGGGTAATAACGATTTTTTTTTCACTTTTCAGACAAAACAATAATTTAGAATAACTAAAATATGCAATCAAGACATAATTTATGAAAAAGGAAAATATATTATATAATTCAATCCAAAAGTACTATTCACCATCTCAATTTAATTCTATTTATTGATTGGACTTACCCAATGCGTGTGTCACAAGTCCACATTTTCAACTGTAAAGAATTGTTTATTGATCGGAAAAAGAACTTGAGTTTACAATAATTTTGACTTCATCTCTTTCCTATGAGATTCGTGACGCATACATGTTACTAGCAATTAACTTACTAAATACGATTGTTTTTTGTCGTTATCCTTTGCAAATTGAAACAACCACATTATTTTTTGTTCTCTTCCTTCAGCCTACGGGGTTGATCCGAGCTTGGAAAAGCTAGGGAGGGAAATGGTAAAACATTGTAGGGGTCTGCCACAGGCCATCGTTGTCCTTGGAGGTCTTTTAAAAAGTAAAAGAACGTACGATGGCTGGGATACGATGCATGAATGTATCAAGTCATACTTAAAGGGAGAAGATTTCGGAATTTTTCAGCTGCTGGCTTTAAGCTATGATGATTTACCGTATGAGCTGAAGCCGTGTCTCCTGGCGTGCTTCCAGAAGATTTTCAGGTATCCCGGGATAGATTGATTAATTTATGGGTGGCTGACGGTATTATATTACCTCCAAAAATAGAGAGAGAAAGTGAGGAAGCATTGGAGGATATCGCATATCGTTACTTGACAGTGTTGACGGAGAGGTACATGGTTAATGTGGAAAGAAGAGATTCATCTGGAAGAATCAAAAGGTGCCAAATGCACGATCTTATGAGGGAGTTTTGTTTGTCCAAGGCTGAAGAGGAAAATTTCTTTCAAGTTCTACCATTCTACGGAGCTAGAGAGAAGAGTTTGAATATTTCTTCTTCTTCAACCAAAGAGAAAGGCAGAGTTCGCCGACTTTCTTTGCATTTAAATAACTTTCCTGGAGACATTGCCCTGGAATGCGAAAAATATCCCCCATTCAGGTCTATTATAGGTTTCTCCTTAGATGGACACAGTGGTATAAACCAGCTACTTATTGAAACCTTCGTTCGAAGCTTCAAATTGCTTAGAATCCTAGATCTCGAAAGAGTTATGGGTTTTGGAATACCTGAAACAATAGGAAAGTTAATTCACTTGAGACTCCTGAATTTGAGGTCTGCTTGGATCGGAAATCTACCTCCGTCTATAGGCAAATTGATTTGCTTGTTGACCTTAAGATTAGATCCTTTTGATTCAGCATCAACCATTCCGGATGTTTTTTGGAAGTTGAAAAGATTGAGGCATCTATATCTTCCTAGAAAAGCTGGAAGCGGCACAAGAAGCTTGCAATTTGCGGATCTGAGCGACCTACGGACACTGGTAAATTTTCCAACATCCAATGCTGACGTAGAAGATCTGATCAGACTGACCAATCTTAGGAAATTGAAGATAATGATATCTGATGAAATCTCACTCAGGAGGTTTAATGTAATCTTCGAATCCCCAACCATCACATTCAACCACCTTCGTGATTTTTCGATAATTTGTCGTCGGCTACCTTCATTAGAATCTCTGGTTGTAGACAACATTAAATCACGTTGTCCTCGTCTTCAGCGGCTGAAACTGAATTGGAGTGTAGTTTACGAGAAGATTGATGTCTTCAGAATTGAGGAAGAATAGGATGCAACCGGCCCTAAGAAGCTTGACAGAAAGGAGCAGACTTATCCTATGCAAGGACGTACATTAATGTTTCTGTCAGGAAGTTTTCCATGCATGTTTGTGGGAGCAGCAGTTTCCAAGGGGAGTTTGCAATAAAGTTTGTTTGTAAAAAATGAATGTATTTGTAAAAAATGAATGTATGTATGTATGGGAGATGTTAGAACTAAGGTCGCAGGTTGATGCTTGCTTTATTGCTACTTGGGAACCATCGGATCAGTGGTAGGCATTAGACGTCAGCCAGATGTTTTAGAATCGTGCAGTTTGGTTGTTTGCCCTATTCTGTTTGTGTAATAATGCTTAAAAGTTAAAACCCTACTATGCTGTTATTGTTGATTTATGCTTTACAGTAATGTTATTTCTGTTTTTATTTTCATAATGATTATTGATTATTAATTTATTTTTATTTTCAAAATAATGTCTTTATTTTGATTTTGCTTAGAATCCTAGATCTCGAAAGAGTTAAGGGTTTTGCTATACCTGCAAAAATAGGAAAGTTAAATTCACTTGAGACTCCTGAATTTGAGGTCTGCTTGGGTTGGAAAACTTCCTCCATCTATAGGCAACTTGAGTTGCCTTTTGACCTTAATATTAGATCCTTTTGATTCAGCAAGAACCATACCGGATGTGTTTTGGAAGTTGAAAATATTGAGGCATCTTTATCTTCCTATAAGATCTGGAAGGAAAAAAAAAAGTTGCAATTTGCAGATCTGAGCGACCTATGGAAACTGGTAAATTTTCCAACATCTAATGCTGACGTAGAAGATCTGATCAGACTGACCAATCTTAGGAAATTGAAGATACTGATATCTGATGAGATCTCACTCAGGAGGTTTAATGGAATCTTCGAATGCCCAACCATCATAGTCCACTACTTTCGAGATTTTTTGATAATTTGGCCTTGGCCTCTTTCATTAGACAGTCGAGATAACATTAAATCACATTATCCTCGTCTTCAGAGGCTGAAACTAAATGGGAGAGAAGTTTACCAAAAGATGCCTTATGTCTTCAGAATTAAGGAAGAATAGGATGCCACCGGCCCTGAGAAGCTTGTCAGAGAGGAGCAGACTTATCCTACATTAATGTTTCTGTCAGGATGTTTTCCATGCATGTTCGTAGGACCAGCAGCTCCCAAGGGGAGTTTGTGTTGGGAGATGTTAAAACTAAGGTCGCAGTGTTGATGCTTGTTGTATTAATGTTACTTTAGAACCATCGGATCAGCGGCTGGCATTAGACGTCAGCAGATGTTTTGGAAATCGTGCAGTTCGATTGGTTGTCCTCTTTTGTTTTGGTAGCAATGCTTAAAAGTTAGAACTCTAATGTGCTGTCATCGTTTTATGCTTTACCGTATTGTTATTTCTGTTTTTTTATGTTACATAATAATTATGAAATCAATTAATTCCGGAGTTGACACTTCGCCTGCTATGTATATGAAATTTTTTAATGGAGGTTGTGCTGCTTTGTTGGAGGATATTTGTTCTTTGTTTGTTTAGCAAAGTAATTTCTGTAGCTTTTATTTTTTAAATTTGACATGCTGTCATATTGTTGTTAGCTGCTGAACTAGTATCATGCTCATAGCCATGGGTGACTCTGGGAATTTCTTTGTACAAGAGATCTCAATCAAATTTCTCCTCAAAAAAGGATAAACCTTCTGCCAGAGTTACAAGCCATCCAAGGAATCAAATCATTTTTCTTAAACTTCATCAGGTCAGGATTAGTCAGTTTCACTTGTAGAATGCTGATAAGAATTGGGAAGAGTAGTTTTTGAAAGATTGAACCAGTGAACAGGTTAATGTAGCCCTAACCATTTCATATATATGCATTACCAGCAATCAAATTTTAACACTAGTAAAATGGACTTGCCTATATATGAAACTAAACCGCATTAAAAGAATCAACAAAATTGCCTGTGCATCATCAACAAGATTAATCCAAGAATCCTGAGAGTGTAGCACTAGAAAACTGTAATGCTGTGCCACGGAATGAAATGAACTGATTTTGAAGTATTTCTTACATCAGGAATAAGAATCTATGCCAAGTTTAAGTACTCTGATGTAAGATTAGGGGGACAAATAGCTACCCGTTGGGGAGCCCTTGAAGCAAGTTTGAGTTGAACGGAAAGATCTCTCCAAGGGATGAACTTCAGTACCATCTATTTCTCTGCTTTTTATCATGCCCATCTGCTGTAACAGACGTGTTAGAGATTCCACGATTTCAGACATCGGTGGTCGACTCAGGCTGCATTTTCAAATTGAAGCCACAAAAGTAACAGGTTATTTTCAACATTAGTAGAGAACTTAGATAAAACTTAAGATCGCTCATTTCTCGTTCAAACTGCATAATCATATAAACGTTAAGGTGTTTTCTTCTTTCACAAGCAACTATAAAATGGTACTACTTTCAGTACAACCATCCTTCAAAATCAGTTATTACAATTTCAAATTCTGGCAATTTTCAAGTTAGATTTCGATTGATAAATTCTGACAATTCTAGTTTCGAGCCATTTCCAAAAAAAAAAAAAAAAAGAAGTATATTCTGGCAGTAAGGACGAAGAACCAGACAATTGCAACAAAGTTTATGAACCCCTAAAATCAAATTATAGGCAATCGATACACAACCTAATTAATTGCTGTTGTCCTCCGTTTTCTTACTGTTAAAACTTCAATATAAATCATCTCTCTGTCAGTACACACAAGTAGTGATTTATTGTCAATATGATGCACTTTATTGATCAATTTTCTTAAAATGTAAAAGCTCATATCAGAAAAAACAGGTGCAAAAGATTGAGCAACGACTGGCAGAAATTGAGCAGAAGGAATCTGATATAAAAAGAAGTGCAGCTTTATCAGCTGCTAAATACGCTGAGGCTCGCCAGAGCTTGGTTTGCAGGTTATGAAAGTATTTATATTGATGGTAGCAAATTGGTCTGATTTGTTTTCCTTCATACAATCAATGCACGTTACAGGGAAAAAATGTCCAGCTTGAACTCTTAGAGACTGCTAATTCACTTCCAAGCACATTTGGCAGGATTCTAGAATTCATTGATGGTGATTCTGTTCCATAAGTGATAAAATATTATTCTAATTTTGTCAGCGATGCTCATACAGAAAAGGATGTAAGACAATAAAATTCCGATCATGCTTGTGTTATTGCTGTTTGCACACTCCAAAGTTTTAGCTTATTTTTTGGATCTGGGTTGTAACTTGAACTTTGTAAGTTATATGATGTAGCTGCTGACAAAAAAGATTTGCAGAAATCTTCACTTGCTTTCTTGCTGAACTGGAAAGACATTCGTGAAAATCCTCCATCTTTTACTGTTTCTGCAGCTTCTGAGACCCTTGATTTAGAGAATACTCAATTTAGCTCTAATTAAATAAACCTCGTGAGGGGAGACATAGATGCCAACACCGATACTATTGATTGGGATATCTCTGTTGACACTGCTCAAATTGATGGGGATATTGGTACCGAGGAAGAAACAGATGATGGTGGTAATGGTTTGGGCCCATATGAGATAGTTAATGCCAGTGAGATATTGCAGAATTCTTCACTAAATGAAGCTGCTGAATCTGATAAAACCCCATTACATAAAACAGAAGGCAACCCACCTCCTCAAATATCTGTATCAGATATATTCTGGGACATTAGTGTTGAAACACCACTGGTTGATGTGAATGATGAGGTCAGCTTAATTACAAAATATACAATTGGAAAATCAGACATATGCTCCAGATTGCTTACCTCTTACCCGAGGAACCAGGGAGGAGTGGTGAAGGAATACAGAAATAAGATTCTGGATGATTTGTACAAGGTATATGCTGATTAGTCTCACAGAAATTTCTGATTGGCTAATATTGCTGTAATAGTTCTTTTTTTTTTTTTTTTTTTTGCTTATATCTAAGTGGAAGAAAAGGTTTCATTAATAGACAACTATATGTAATTTGTGATGGATGCATAATGACGTTTGGTTTGCCAATACCATTTTATCTTCTGTATGAACAAAATAAGAGAAGTAAAATTGCATTAAAACTTCATTAGGTATGGGTAGACATCGATTTTATCCGGATCTATTATCTTCAGTTCTTGTTTAATATTATTAATAACAATTTTAATAATAATAATATTTTAATTAAAATTTAAAATTAATTAATTAAAAAATTTTAAAAAAGAGAAGAGACAATTAAAAAAATCCAAATGAAAGAAGAAATAAAGAGGTAGAGGTTGGTGGCAATGGTGCCTTGCACGGCACCACTGGCCACCCACCCCATTAGCCACCCATCTCACTGCCAGCACCATACCCCATACCCTCAGCCACCCACCTTTTTGGCCTGACATACCCTGCATTGCAAGAACCCTTACCCTGCCATACCAACCATCACTTGCTCTCCTTTTGAAGCTCCTAAAAACCCATAAAGCCCAAAGCACCAATCTTCTCTTCTTTCTACTGGGAAAAACACCTTCGAAGCTCTTGACACCCAAGTTTTCACACCCAAAATGACCTAGCACTCATTCAAACCAATCACCCCAGTCTCAGAGTCCCAACCCCTTACTCGATGCACACACTGAATAAAGCCTTCAACACCCAATAGCTCTTCAAGCTTTTCATATACAAACCCAAATATGAGAAACCCCAAAGCTTAGACATCCTTCTCCTACCTACCAAAAAGCCAGAGACCCTTACTAAACTTTCAATCCACCAAGAAAACCAAATTGACACAAAAAAAACACAAAAAAAAAATTCACACAAAAAAGAAAAAAATACAAAAAAATAATACAGTCTTTCCTGTAGGGAGAAACCCAATGCCAAGCTACTTATAAAAAAAAATATTTCGTCACTTTTGTTTTTTTTTTTTAAAAAGAAGGTCAAAAGCTTCAAGCCCTGATTTACATTGATTCGAGCTGTTTCTAGCAAACGGACATTGGATCTAAGAAGATCACGTTGAGGTGAATGTTTGGGAACTTTTTGTGTTTTTTGACCATCGACGGCCAGCATGGCGGCACAAACGCCGACGATCGGACACTGACCGAGCCTTCAGAGCTCTTCTAGAGCTTTGACTTTTTTTTTTGGGGTTAAAAGGTGAGAATGAAGAAAAAATGGTTTTATATAGAACAGCAAAACCCAAAACGACGTCGTTTTGGACTAAGGGGATCCGCGCGTCAACCTAAATCCGACCTAGGATCTGCACAACTTGACCCACGACCCGCTTCAGCCAACCTTAAACTGATCCAGATGAATCGCCAGTGAATCGGTCTAAATCGCTGAATCACCCGAACTACTGATTAAACTACTGAATTGGTCAAATTGGTCCAGACCAGCGTTAACCTGATTGTTAACCAATTCGGTTCAAGTATTTTTTTGAATTTTCTAAATTTTTTTATATTATTATTTTTTTATTTTGAGTTTTATTTTTAATATTTATGCGTGATAATTTTTTAAATTTATTAGAATAATTATTTGATTATTTTTATTGATAATAA